TGTCCCGACAGGCAGGGCTGGGACTGCTCCACTTGGCTTCAGAACACGTAAAATAGAGGAACCGTTCCATACTATTTAATTTAAGAATTAAAGGGGCTGGGCACTTGGCTAATTAAGCACAGGGTTTGTTGCTTCAGTTCGGCAGCAGAGAAGGATTCTCCCATGGAAACCATGGCAGAACAGTTCCCGGGATGGTGGTGGGCCGAGCAGCATTCCCAGCAAGGACTTTTTAATAGACAGATTATATCAGCCTTCTAGAGCAGTAAGTTTGAGGCTTTTATGACTTAGTGTGCCGTAATGCAGCCTTTTGAGAACAGTGGCGCATTTTTGCCTAGTCCTGTGTCAAATGAGACAAAATTAGGCGCTATTATGAATCAGAGCGGTTGGGTGCAGCGTGCCGTGGGTGCCCGGAATCCGCATTACCCGCAGCAGCTTCCGCGCCCGGAGCCGCTCGCGTCCTGCACCGCTCCAAAGGTGCCAGCTGGGAATGCCGTGGGTCCAGGGCATGGTGGTTAGAGGATGGGGATGGAAGGAGTGAAACTGCACGCTTTTATTTGGGTTTATTTTGGTAGTGATAGAAATTCTTTCCGTTAGACCATGACACCCTGATGGCTGACCTCAAAAAATAGCAAATATTAAGATAGATATAAGGCTTAGTTTATAAGAACATATAAAGATCAAAACAGAGAATTTTTAAGCTGCTGTTACGCAATAGACAGCTCTTTTAAGTTCTGATTTGTAAAGACAGTTCAGATAATTTCCTAAAAGACGTTCTCATAATGATTAATTTAGAATATGCTTAATTCAAGTTAAAGAGATCAAAGAGAAAGCATTTCCCCCCTGTAATGCCATTTACTTTTTTATACTTTAACTGCGTTTCCTGGGACTGGGGAACTGCCTGGTTTGCAGCTCCCTGCGCTTTCCGAGGTGTGGGGACTGCAGAGGGACGCGTCCTGCAGCCGTGAGTGCTGATGTGGGGCAGAAAAGGCTCTAGTTGCCCCCGGGAAGGGCGGCTCGGGGCGGTGCGGGATGGGGAATGGGCTCCCCTCACCCGTCTGGCTGGGGATGGTCCCGCTCTTTGCGGTTTCCTCTGGCGTTTTTCCTGGCTGCTGTCTGCATTGGCCATATCTGAGCGTGGAAGTTAATTAGCGCTAACGCGGCAGGGAGGTAACGCAGGAAAGCGGCTCTGGGGCCGCCCGGCCTGGCCGCGTTTGCCGAACCCGGATCCCGTTCGCTGGAGGAGCCGCTTCTGTTTTAACAGCCCCGCGGGGCGGCTTGGGGAGAATTTACAAGTACGTCTCTATTTGCGCAGCTATAATTTCTATTATATGATCAACTGCGCAGCTATAATCTCTATTATATGATCAACTGATGTAACTTCTGTGGCTGTGCCCAACGTGCCTTTAATTCAGACTGCGAGATAATCTTTCCCTTTGGGAGAAACTAAAACCAGCGTTAATTTCTTACTGTTTTGGTTGCCACATGGTGTGGGAGGAGGTCCATTCCTCCCGATATACCCCCCACGTGGCCTAGGAAGGTTATTCCGTGCGTGATGCTGAAGCACGAGCGTTTGCTTTACGTCCCACAAGATGCTGCTGGAGTTTCTCTCTTCTCCAGCTCTGTGTTATTCCCGCGGCTCATTCCCTGCAAACACAGACATTCCCGAGCTTGGAGCAGCCGCTTGCAGCGGCGCAGGGGGCTGGATCGGGGGGTTTTGCTGCTTCTCTCCGCTCGCCCTTGTGCCTGTGCGGCGCGAACAGCCTGTGCCGGGCGGCGCCGGGTCTGGCACTGATGAACGATGCACTCGGAGACTCAATTAGTCTATTAATAAAGCAGAATCTAGGCCACAGGTTTCCAAGTTAGGTACCAAATCCATATGTAGGCTCATAAATAAGTGGCCTCGTTTGCGGAGCGGCCACAGGCGCACGGTGCTTCCCGGGCCGGGGTGGCCGGGCGGCCGTGGGCGCTGGAAACGGGGCCGCGTTTTTGTTGCAAACTCCCTGCTCCGGTTCCCAGAGCGCCGCTCCGGAGCGGGTGGTGGTAGAGGGGACGGACCCGAACGGCTTCCCACGGAGCCAGCGTGAGCGCGGCCGGGAGCTGGCAGGTCCTGATGGAGAGCGGCCGTCCAGGTGTTCATCCCTGCTATCCCACTGGATGTTCCTCCCCGCTATCCCACTGAGTGTTCATTCCTGCGATTCCAGCTGGATGTTCATGCTATCCCACTGGATGTTCATCCCTGCTATCCTACTGAGTGTTCATCCCTGCTATTCCGGCTGGAGCGAGAGCCAGCTGGAGCGCTGCGGGGAGCTGGGAGGTCCTGATGGAGAGCGGCCGTCCAGGTGTTCATCCCTGCTATCCCACTGGATGTTCATCCCTGCTATCCCACTGGATGTTCCTCCCCGCTATCCCACTGAGTGTTCATCCCTGCTATTCCAGCTGGATGTTCATGCTATCCCACTGGATGTTCCTCCCTGCTATCCCGCTGGGCGCTAGCACAGGAGGGGAACCGAGCGCGGCGGTGACACCGGCACGGCCATGGGGCCAGTAGCTCCATGCGGGACAAGTCCTGTTTCAGCCGCTGTGTTTCCTGAGCATCCCAAGCATTCCCGCTGCTGGGGTGAGCAATGTTGCTCCTCTCCCTGCTTTGAAAAGAGATGATAGGAGGCGAAATTCTGCGTTTCTCTGTGATGCAGACGCAGAGGACTGCGAGCTGCGCCAGCGCGGCTGTGCCAGCGAGACCAGGCTGCAGCCAACTACAGAGTAAATATTTCAGTGAAGTGTTGGGACGTCTGGACGTGTCACCAGGCGTCGTGCTGGCTGGAAGCCAGTCCCCGCTGAAGGCATCGGGCTTTAGCATGAAACCCACCAGGATTTATGGATCTTTATGGGCGTTTTGGGCAGGCGATGAGCAAGACAGGGGGGTTCCAGGTGAAACGGGGTGAGCAGCATCACCCACCTGGCAGATATCTGTGTACCCTCTGCACACCGAACCACTTCTGTTAGGTAATTGCTATTTAATAGTGATGAAAACATATTAATTGCCCCAGGAAAACGGGAATCCATTCCCGCTCAGCTCCGCCAGAGCGCGCTGACCTCGTGCCGTGCGTCACTGTCCCTGTGTTCAGCTCCTGGGTGCCGGGGCTGCTCCAAGCGCCCCGTCCCCAGGCAGCACCGTGGGGTGACAGGGGCTGTTTTTTCCATTGCTCTTCCCCCGGTCCCCATTGCCGTTCCTCGCGGCGGCCGCATGATTCGAGGCCGACCCGCCTGGCTCCGGGCGGAGAAGGGTTTATTTCGAGCGCGGTGACATTTATCATAACGCGTCGAACTCCAAAACGGGGTTAACGCCGGCGCTGCGGGGGCTCCCTGCCGCGTGCTCCGCTGCTGTCGAGTGATTATTTGATCAGATAAAATATGCATTAAACGCATTTGTAGGAAAACAGAAACCGGTGTTCGCTTAAGGAAGCCCTGTCAGGCGTCAGGAGCGGCGTTTGATCTGCGCGGATGAAACGCTGCGAAGCAGCTCGTGCCCCAGCTCCGGAGCCGACGCTGCCGCGCGCTTGCCAAAGCGAACGGTGCCGGCGACCCGACACCGCGGGCCGTGGACCCGCTCCCCTTCTCCCTGCGTGGCAAGGAGCCGTGTTCACCCTTGTCCACGTTCCCGCGCGCAGCGTCGCGGGACGGGCGCTCCCGGCAGCCTCCGTCCGCTCCGAGCTCCGGGCTATCGGGGCGCCGCGGAGCCTTGACCTGTCCTGGGAAGGGAGCGCGTGGATGGGCGCTCCGTGTTATCTTTAATGCTTGTCCTCATGATGGCTAAAGCGGATGCAAATTTTTGTTTTCCTCTTGGTAAAGCATATTTCTTCCCCCCATAACGTTTAAAAGAGCTTGAATTTACCCACATCTCCCTTCTGGTCTCGCGCTGTGTTGGTAGGAACAAGAAGCCCATGGCCAAGGCCGGCTCTGTGGGCACCCACTTGGGACCCCCGTGTCGGGCTCAGGCGGGTGCAGAGGAGCACAGACCGGGAAGGGGCATTTCAGGTCTGGTCCATGCACTGAAAATAACGGGGTTCTGAGGAGCAAAGGAGGTATTGAACCAAAAATGGTCCCTGCAACTGCTTATTCTTCTCACCTCCTTCACGTCAGAGCTTCAGGATGCAAGTAACCCATTTCTATCAAAAAGATGGTCATTTTTCAGGCGAGGATGCGCAGCGCGGGGCGGCGCAGACCGCTCGCCGTGTGCGGAACGACGCGGCTGCCGCCAGCCCAGCCGCCCAGCATGCGCCGTTCTCGATAATTGGAGCTATTTCAAGCTTTACATCCATAGTCCTTAAAAATCCCTCTCCAGCGTTTGATGTGGCTCTGTCTATCCATGGTGCCGGCGCGCAGGCCCTTGCCGAGCTGTGCAGTTTTCGTGGCTCAGACGCGTTTTTCCTCTCGCGGTCCCTGCCCCAGCTGCTCCCTGGCCCCGTGACGCGGCTGCAGCCTGCACGGAGCAGTCGGGCTGCGCCTCTGTAGGGAGAATTAACGAAAGTGGCCGGAATCGGCACTCATTTCCCGAGACAGCCCAGCAGCTGTGACTCAGCGCGGGCCTTGGATGGTGAAATGCAGAAATAACCCCCGGTGCCGTCATCCTCCCAACCAGGTCTGCGGGGAAGGGGCCGCTTCAGCGGTGCCGGGGCACAAAGCTGCCCGGTGCCCTATGGAGCTGGGCCTGGAGCCGCGGGACGTTCCCGTGCTCCGTGCGGTGCCCGGCAGGATGCTGCTCCCGGCTCCGCAGCAGCCCTGCCCGGAACGAGGATGCTCAGGATGCAGATCGGATACTGCTCGTGGGAGCTGCGGTTCCTGCTTTCCCTGGAGTGCAGTTCTGCTGGGGAAGCTGGTCCCGGGCAAGGATCTGAGCATCCTCCTGCAGCGCGCAGCAATGCAGACCAGGGCCGAGGGAACGGGAAGGGTCTTTCTAGCTGCTCCCTGGCAGGAAAGGGCACTGGGAAAACGTGCTGGGAATGCGCAGGGCGGCAGAGCCGGGAAAGGTAAGGAAGGAGCCCAGCCATGGCCACAGGAAAGCAGGGAATGAGCTGGGCCTGCTCTGTGTTCTGGAAAGAAGGTCTAAGTGACAGAGATGTAAAATACTGTGACCTGACTTACCTGGTTCCCTAATGATATGGACCGGGAAAACGGGCTGGAAAATCTCACGTTCCGTATGGAATGTTTCCCTGCTCTTAGGGCAGGTTTGGTGCCCCGCGCTCCTCCCGCTCCGTGACCGCCTCTCCTTGCCTTGCAGAGAGATGCCAAGGGCCAGTACCTGTTCGACCTCCTCTGCCACCACCTGAACCTGCTGGAGAAGGACTACTTCGGCATCCGCTTCGTGGACCCGGACAAGCAGAGGGTAAGTGCTGGCCCCGGGATCTGCTTCCTGGGCACGTGAGGCAGTGGAGAAGGGAAAGGGCTGAATTCAGCTATGGAAGAGGGAAACATTCCCAGAGGTTCCTCCTGCCTCGGCCCTCAGCAAAGGGACAGGCCAGGGCGGTCACCGGTGCCGCTGGGGCAAGTTGCCTGGCCCATCTACAGAGCGTCTATAAGAGCCTTGCCCACCTGCAACTCCCCTTGCCCACCTGAAACCCCCTCCAAGCCACCTCACCACGTTCCCGCTGCTCCGTGTGCCCCGGGGACAGGGGAGCCTTAGCTCGTTGTCCTCGGAACATCCCACCTGGAGCAGGCGAGTGGACGGACGGAGCGAGAGGGCCGGCAGGGCCAGGTCTGCGCGGCGAGCGGGACACGGAGCGTTCGCACGGACACGCGGGAGCTCCCGGACCGTCCGTGCCAACGGGCCACGCGTTCTACATGCGCCCGGCGACAGGCGCCGCGCTGCAGCCAGCGCTGCCTCCTCAGCCCGTCCTTTCTGATGCACAACGAAGCGTTTCTCGTCGGAAAGGAGGTGCCTGCGCTGCCACTTACGGATTGAAGTGCTTTTATTTTCTCAAATGCGCCTTCTCGAGTGCTGTCAAATGAAAGCAGCAGCTAACGCAGCGGCTGCGCTGCGGGCAGAGCGCAGCGGGTTCCTTCTGAAGGCGAAGGGCAGTTTCACAAACAGCGGCTCGAGCGTCGCCGTCCTCGCGCCACGCTGCGGTTTGGAAGCGGCCGCCGCTTGGCGGGTGGTTCGGGCGCTGCTGCAGGCTCCGCTGCACAGAAACGCCGTCCCGGAGCGCAGGGCGCAGCGTCACCCCGGGGTCCGCCCGGGTTGGCAGGAGCAGAGTTGGCTTCGTTCGTGCTTCCTTGCGTACGGCTCTGCTTTAAGCAAGGGAGTCGCAAGGTGAAGTGCCCGTACGCTGCGGTGGGGCACGTGTGTGAGAACGTGACACGGGCAGATGATGCCAGCGCATGGGGATTAGACCCTTGGTAAAATTATTTTCCCCCCTCCCTGGTTTCTCGTTCGTCTGCGATGTGCAGGGGCCGGGAGGCTGATGGGCAGCAGGAGGTGACGGCGGCAGAGGAGGAGGAGGAGGAAGAGGAGGAGGAGGAGGAGGAAGAGCGCTGCTGACATTAGTTGCGCAGCGTGTGGTCGCTCGCAGAGCTGCGCTTGTCCCTGGGCGGCTACAAAGGGCTCCTGTTGGTGTCCCGGGGAGGGGACACGGCTGCGGTGGCGCCGGGCACCCTCCCAGCACGCGGGGCTGGCGAGGAAGGGGCACGGCGGCTCCTCCTCCTCCTCCTCCTCGCTGCTCTCCCGGTCGCAGCGGCAGAGCACGGGCAGTGTCTGCAGACGCTGCTCAGCGCGGGGCGACGCTGCCCCTGGGCCAGCGGTTTCAGGTGCTCCCGTGTCCCATGCACAGCCCTCCCGCAGCGGGGGCAGCGCGGCCGGGATGGGGCAGCACCTCCTTCCCCTCCCTCCTTCTCCTCCGGCTCTCCTGCGGCTTCGGCATCCCGCCGCAGAACGCGCCCTTACGTAGAATGAGCCTTTATTTCAGCAGGCCTTTCTGTTTCTGTAGTTTCACCCCCAAGAGGCCATGTTGCTAATTAAAAGTATTGTCTGGTGAGTTATTTCCATTCCTTTCTCTTTTGTTTCAGCATTGGTTGGAATTTACCAAGTCGGTTGTGAAGCAGATGAGGGGTAAGTACGGCTTCTAGAACGCCGCCCGTGTCCCCTAGTGTCCCCGATTGCCCCGTCCTGCCCGCGCTGGGGTCCGGGATGGGCTCCCTGCGCGTCGGTGAGGAGGGAGCGCCGTCCCCGTCCCGCGGCGCCGCGTGACCCTGCTCTCCCCGCAGCCCAGCCTCCCTTCACCATGTGCTTCCGCGTGAAGTTCTACCCCACGGCCCCCGC